TTTATGCGGAGTCAATTCTAAGTTTATACTTCAGGAGCCGCGAGAAGCTCAAGCAACGTTTTCCTCTGAGACATCACCAACCGTTTGGCGTGCTATTCCAACACTCGAATGTCTTCAGAATCGATGGGAAACAATGGCACGTACCCCAAAGTTTGCACCTGTCCGGGTTGCGATTGAGAAAGGCTTGGAAAAACTTCGTAAGTGGTATAAGACGGTCAATGGAAATGATGTCTATTTTATATGTCTCGGTGCGTATTCACCCTTTTCATTTTCTTTGAGCTGATATGATTGTTACTTGTTTTAGCCCTCGACCCTACCATCAAACTCGAATATGCAAAAAACAATTGGGATTCTGAGTCGTATCATGCTGGTTACGCAGCTTTCAAAAAAGTGGTATGAAATTTCCGAGCCGATTCGAGCTGTGTCATCATCCATCTTTTATAGTTTGCTAAATACTATGAAGCAACCACCGATGCTACTCCAGCATTAACCACAGAACCCCCAGGTATGATTTCGCTTCGTTGAAGTACCTTTATTGCTTAATCACTGCACAATCTAGATTCCCCTGTGCGGGGGTATGGATCATCATGGATCAGAGACCGTGTTCGTTCCCATGTGGAGCAAGAGACTTGTCTCTCGGATCCCTTTCAAGAATTTCTCAACTACATCAACAGTCCTCTTGCAAGAGGGGTAAAAGACCCTGTTTGTTGGTGGGGAGTGAGTACCTTTTTTTTTCTCAACACGAGAGTGCTCAATGTTTCTGTTTTTCGACAGGAGCATCAATCAGATTATCCTACTCTTTCTCGCATCGCTCGTGACTATCTTGCCATCCAAGGGTCATCAGTCCCATCTGAGCGTGCTTTCTCAAGTGGGGGTCTGACAGGTTCTCTACTCAGAAACCGACTCAACACAGATGCATTCGAGGCCTTGCAAATTTTGAAGCGTGCGTATAAGAATGGCCTGATTAGTGCTTTTCTAAGAGCCACTGAAGGGGTTCCTCAAGAGTGGACTCCCAATATGTAGCAGAATGTATCCATCTCGAAAATCACAGTTCTATAATTTTTTTTGTAAGGTTCGTGAGTTCGAACCTGAACCGAACTTGGACCGAACCTCCTGAACCTGTTCAGAAGGTTCAGTTCGAGTTCAGGTTCGAGTTCAGAAATTTTGAGTAGGTTCGGGTTCGGGTTCAGGCAAAATGTGCTCTGAACCGGACTGAACTGAACTTCGGCAACACTAGTTGCAAGAAAAAAACATAGAAAACATATCACCAACATTGTGGAAACCTTGAAAGACTTGTCGCTAACGGCAAGCGAACCAATGCCTTATGATTCTCAGGTAGGACGAGAGGGACCCGGCTCCCCTTGAGCTGGCTTTGCAGCGTGTTTGGTGTGAGTGCCGGGAGGGTAGTACCCAGGAGGGGGGGGATAGGGCATGCCAGGATGCGGGGGTGGGAAAGGCGCAACTTCTGTACCAGGAGGGGGGGGATAGGGCATGCCAGGATGCGGGGGTGGGAAAGGCGCAACTTCTGGACCAGAGGTCCCTGCAGCACGCTCCTGGTTCCAAGGGGCATATGGCCAGCCTGGCGGGGGATGATAGCTATAGGGAGGATAGTAAGGGTTGTATGGCCACTGAAACCCCTGCACACTTGTCCCGTTCGGCTGTTCCTCATCTGGTTCTACGGCTGGCCGTTCTTCAGATGCGCTGGCGCTGGCAGGTGGACACTCCATGACCTTGTGGTTGTCCGCATTGCATTTGGAGGGAGGCTGGGACGGTGACTGCAGAGGAGTGGTGCTAGGGAGACAGGGAGGGCCAAACGCCGATGGTTTTGGATTCGTTGAAGTTGTCGAAGCCGCTGGGATGGTTGTCGCGGGGGTCGCCACTGNCACACGAACCTTTGGTGCTTGTCC